GATAGCTACTATTTAACAGTCTTCCAATTATCTATTTTCTCCAGCTTCTATTTAAATTCTTTATTCTGGACATTACTGTCAAAACATAGGAAGAACTTTTATAATTCTATGCACCAAATTTGCTTAAAGAAACAAAAAAATTTTTATTACCAGATTTTTAAAGAAGCCTTTTTTTTTTTAGTATATTGAAATATGGGTCAGATAATACATCTAAAGTGTGCAATAAGTATCTTAAAATGATTTTAAGACCAAAGTTTCCTATAATTAGTAATAAAAATATTATAAGGAACTGAACCAAAATAAAACCAATAAACCAGCTACTAAACTACACATATGTCTTCAAAATCTTATGGGAGTCAAATATTCCAGTAAAAATAACAGAAGAGATGGAAACACAAGTTTCTTATTATCACACTTCATATGTTATAAAACATAACAGCTAACTTATTTTTGGCAAAATGATTAGGGATTGCAACACTCTGGCTTACACAAACTTACTTGATTGTCCAATGCGTCTTAAATGGAGCGTGTCATGCTAACTTCAGGCACGCAGGCACTGTGCCGTCTTAGAGTAGCCCAGAGACACTGAAATTTCAACACTTCAGAGGGGATCACACCACCGATATTAACTGGGCCAGGTGTTTAAAGAGGGGTGGGGACTTCAACAATGCAGTTAATTGAAACCAGATAAAGCTTTTGAATAATAATAAAAAAAAAATCACACAGATGTTCACCCTCTTCCCCGGGGTGACCTTTATGGACAATTTATCACACACGTTATTTTCTAGAAAACACCCTGTTTAAGAAAACACAGTTTCACGTGTCTCTCTGAAAACTCTATAATCACAGTATGAGTTATGTCTCCACAAACAGACTATGTTAAGCACATGTTTCATCTTCCTTTCCCATTTTCACCACTAGTCCAAGGGCAAGAACACCTGGAAGTAGAACAATAATTAGAAAGCTCTAAAGCTAAAGGAGCTGTAGGAAGCTGCATTAACCTTAAGATGCATTTGTATTTCTTTCCCAATAGACATGTGAATGCATGCCAAAAAGGAGAGATGAGTTCAAAACAAATGTGTTCAACAACTGGTTTCAAATATGCACAAGAGAAACCGTACATACATGCAGAATCAATGAAAAGCAAACAAAAACCAAAAAGACATATCAGTGATTAAGTTAACAGACTGAAGGACTCGGAAAAGAATATTTTCTTCTCTATGTTTATAGAACAGTGTATTTTTCAAGGTTCCCCAGAGGGAAAAATAAATATATATATATATACACATATGTGTATATATGTATACACACATATGTATACATATGTGTGTATATATATATATATAGAGAGAGATGTGTATATATGTATATATTTATGTTTATCTCTCTCTTTATATATATCTCTATATAATTATATATATATATCTATCTTTTATATATATATAAAAGGAGATTTATTATAGCAATTGGTTCACATGATTATGGAGGCCTTTAAAAAGTCCCACAATATGCCACCTGCAAGCTGGGAACCCGGAAAACAATGGAATGATTTGGTCTGAGTTTGAAGGCCTGAGAACCAGAGGAGCTGATGGTGTAAGGCCCAGAGTCGAAGGCCAGTGAACCCAGAGCTCCAGTGTCAGAGGTTAGGAAAAGATGTGTGTCTCAGCTGAAGAAGAGAGATATAGAATCCCCCTTTCCTGAGTTTCATTCTATTTGGGACTACGATGGATTGGAGTATGCCTACTCACAATGAACAGAGCAAATCTTTTCTCAGTCGACTGATTGAAATGCTAATCTCTTCTGGAAACATCCTCAGACACACTGAGAAGTGTTTTACCAGCTATCTGGCTTTCTCTTAGCCCAGTCAAGTTGACACATAAAATTAGCCACCACAAATGGGGTCGCCTAGGTGGCTCAGTTAGTTAAGCATCTGACTCTTGATGTTGGCTTGGGTCATGATCTTATGGTTTGTGAGATTGAGCGCCATACCCAACACAGAGCCTGCTTGGGGTTCTCTCTCTCCCTCTCTTTGCCTACCCTTCAGCCCCACTTGTGCACACATGTTCTCTCTCTCTCTCAAAATAAACAAATAAACTTAAAAAAAAATTAACTTTAGGGCACCTGGGTAGCTCAGTCGGTTAAGTGTCTGAGCCTGCTTTGGATTCTGTGTCTCCTCTCTGCCTCTCCCCCACTTGTGTTCTGTCTGTCTCTGTCTCTCAAAAAGAAATAAATGTAAAAAAATAAAATAAAATAAAAATTAACCATCACAAATGGTAATGCTATTATTATTTCAAATATGCAAGTACTCTTTTCTTTAAAATATATTTTTTTATTTTTATTTTTTATTATTTTTTTATTTTTTAAGATTTATTTATTTTTGAGAGAAAGAGACAGAGTGTGAGTGGGAGATGGGCAGAGAGGGAGAGAAAGACACCGAATCAGAAGCAGGCTCCAGGCTTCGAGCTGTCAGCACAGAGCCCAACGCAAGGCTTGAACTCATGAGTGGTGAGATCATGACCTGAGCTGAAGTCGGGTGCCCAACTTACTGAGCCACCCAGGTACCCCTATTTTTTAACTTTTTAAAATACCTAGGATAACTATTTCATATAACTATTTTATATCAGTTTGCTATAATCTATCTGACATGATCAACTCACCCCCCATCCTGGGAAATAAACTCAGTATTTTAATGTATATATATCTATGTGTCTATATACTTGATTATACACCACACAAGTGAAATCCTAACTGTAGTAGTGGTGGGGTAGGCAGCCTCTGACATGGCTCCCAGTGATCCTTACTTTCTAATATTCATCCTTTAGTGTAATCTGCTCCTCTTGAGTCGGGGGCTGGACCTAGTGATTTACTTCTAACAAATGGAATACTGTAAAACCAATGGGATATGATTTCTGTAATGAGGTTATAGTCTGTGACTTCCATCTTCCATCAGACTCTTCCTCTGGCTCTTCTACCATACTTGCTCTATTGAAGCAAGTTATAAAGACCCTCCCATGTTAAGGAACTGTGGGTGACCTCCACCTAAGTGCCAACGATTAACCAAGGTCATCAGTCCAACAACCCTCAAGGAGCAGAGTCCTGCCAACAAACCCTGTGAGTTTAGAAGCTCATCTGTTTCAATTCAAATCTTCAGATGACCTGTTGCCCTGGAAGACACCTTGACTGCAGTCTTATGAGATCATAAGATCAGCCAGATCCCAGACCCACAGAAACTGTGAGAGGATAAATGTGTATGGTTTTACACTATTATACTTCGGGGCAATTTATTATACAGCTGTTGATAACTAATATAGTACTTAACCTAATGAGTTAGCCAATGGTTCCACTGTCATCCATCATCATAATAATAGCTAATAACTATTAGGGAACTTCTAAGGTCTAGACACCATTCTTACTTCTTTATGTAAATACTCACAAAAATCCTTTGGGGAACATATTATTATCCTCATTTCACACATTAGGAAACAGAGGTACAGATATACTCCATAATTTGACATAGGTCACACAAAATACAACATCGACTGTCTGAACCTGAACACAGTGTCTTAGCTCTGTGACCAAGGCTTGTGGCAAGTGTGCAAACAGAAGCACCGAGTGGCAAGGCTGGGCACCGTGAAGATGGTAACCTCATCACACAGCACAGGAGGAGAGTTAGAAGGCACAAAAGAGATTAGAAGACAAGCCAAATGCTTAAAACGAAAATAAAGGCTCTTCTTTCTGAATAAGATGCCTTATCCATGGGGAAAAAAGGAATAGAAATAGTAATACAGTGAATGGACTGCAATCCTGAATTTATCGAAATTACATTCAGAAATGAAAAATACATTTTCTTATATCCAATAAAAGAAAATTAACAACTTTCATTTGGTGTTAAAAACCACAGCTGTGAAGGCTATAGTTGTATATTTCCTAAGGGCAATTATTGTGCCAAGCTGGTAGAAAAAGAAAATGCCTAGTGAGCTCCGAATCTCTGCTAGATATATTTTATCATATGGAATGAGATTCCAGGAAGGAATCACTTCCAATCTTGCATTCAGATTACAACGTTAAATAGTACTCCCTCACACCCCAAGATCATAGTTATCATACTTATGGGTTAGGGTGTCTCCTCCATTAGACTTTGGACTCTCTTACCTCAAAGGCTGTCTTATTCACTGGGATGTCCTCAAAACACAGCTCAGGGCCTGACACATGGCCAGTGTTTAATATATGTTTGTCAAATAAAGAAATACTTTATGTTGTGAATTGCATCCATTCAATAGGTCATTTCAATGGTACATGCTAGTGAAAGTACGAGTTTCTGTTTTAAGTCTCTTCTAGCTCACTAGCTTTCTTGGGCATTTTAAATAGGTCTTTGTGTCTCCAGTGTCTCATTTAATATCTGACACCCAGTGGCACCCAATAATTTGTGAATGAATAAATGAATGTCAAGCTATAGAACAGATAAGGATCCAGACTTAGGACTAAATAAAGATTTAGTGTTCCATAAGGACAGCTGTTGTTTGCCTACTGATGTTGCTGCTGCTGCTGCTAAATTTTCTTCCTTTTGAAAGGAGGCATGAACATTTGCAAAATACTGTCCCAATAAAGACAGATTCTTGTCTGGGTCATGGCTGGTAACTACTCTTAAATATTTTTTTATAAAAGACAACAAGTTACATATAACTTAAGAATTCCAGACAACCATTGGGGACTTTTTCCCGCTTTGTCAAAGATTAGTTGGCCGTACATTTGATAACCCTAGGATTAAACGGCATTCATCTGGAAAAATTCCTGCCTTTTACCATATTATTTTTTTGAAACACATGAAAATTGTATGAACATATATATACTCACACAGGCCCACAGTAATACAAAAATAAAGGCAGCTCCCAAATAACCTCTCTCTCTGTTATACTGATCAATTAAACAAGAGACAAAAGGGGAAAGGAAAGCTAGGGAGGATTTGTGCAAAAGAATCACCAAGCACTTCCCGTACTTACTGGGAGTTCAGGAGCAAGCTTCAAAATCTCAAGGGAAATATAGCAGCCTATTGAATGGCCGATGACCACAAGTTTCATTTCCTTTGGCACATGGGTTCTCAGGAAAGCTAGCTTGTGTTCCACTTGACCTTGTAGTCCATAGATGTCTTTAATTCCTTGAGCATTTGAATCTAAAAGCAAAAAATATGAATATGTTTTCACTTAATAAGTGAAAGTAATAAATTCACTGGGAAAAATATCTTTAAAAACTAGTAACAGTAGCAGTCACCATTTATTTAAAGCCTACTAATATGCTAGCTACAGTGTTAAACACTTCATTTAAATTACATCAACCAGTCTACACAATAGTCCTGGAAAGGAAGTATTAGTGTTTTCATTTTATAGATGAAAATCCCAAAGCTCACAGATATTAAGTGATAGGCTGACAGTCACACACCTATTAAGTGAGAAAGGCGAGATTCAAACCTAGGTGTCTCTGTCCTCAAAGCCTAAGAACTTTCAACTATTCCATGAACTGCAGTTCGCTTAGGCCACTACTTCTCAAACATGATCAGGTATCAGAATCCTCTGCAGGACATATGAAAGCAGTGACTGTAGGGCCCTACCACCAAACTCCCTGGTTCAGTAGGTCTGGGTTGGGGCCCGAGAACTTGCATTCCTAAGCTTCCAGGACATGTTGACATTGCTGGTCCCAGGACCACACACTGAGAATCACTGGTTAGGCCAGTTTATCTTATTAATAGACAACTACCCATGACAGTGCTTCATTATTTGAGATAATCTTTGTTTGCTGAAGAACTTTCACTGAAGGGCTTAAGGAGAAAGAAATGTAAGTTGTTCCTTTTAACCTGCAGTCTTAACCTGAAATATCCTTTCTTCCTTTCCTTCCTTAAATGAACTGTCTTCTAGAATCTTCAAGAGCTAATTAAAACTTTAGCTAATCTTCAAGAAAAATGAATGAGCCTTCCTTTGTGTTTAACCAGTAATCTCTATCCTTGTTACAACACCTTATCATACTTGTGTCATTGTCTGCTTATTTCCTCTTGTAGTCTGTGAGCTCCTTGAAGGCAAGGTCCATCTTTTCATCTGTGTCCTCTGTGACTAGCACGCAGTAAATATTCATGTGGAATGAAAATATGTACTGACTAGACATTCTCTGAGGATGCTGCCAGCACTGATTGTCTATACATATAGAAAACGTCAATAGGTTTTCCCTATGAACTTATGTGTAATATTTCAAAGTATCACAAGGTATAATAAACTGTTTGTTAACATTTGGATTACTGGAATACTAAATTTCTTGCCTTTGACTCCTACAAGTTACTTATGTGAACTTTAATTCGAAAGGTACCTGAAACTCATTGCAAAGGACTGCTCTTCAGTTTTACTGTATGTGCTGTTTTCATTTCCTTCGGTGCTCAGTTCCCCCTGTTAATCTGGCTAACTCCTCTTCATCCTTCAAACTCCCAACAAGTGTTATCTCCTCTGAGAAGCTGTTTTTATGATTCAGTAGGCGAGGAGTAAAGTAGCCTTCCTTTCAGTTCCCACAACATCCTAACCATGTTTATCTCACCACACTACTCCTGATTTATCCCTACTTTATAATTTTATAATGTCTCTTATCTCTGTCTCTCAATGCCTGGCATACAGTTATTAAAGACCTTTCTACCCAGTCAGTGAGGCTTAGTTCCCTTTTTCCATGGTATTACTGATCTCTTGGGTAAGACGTGTTCTGCCCTAATCCTTCTTCCTATGTCAGCCTCAAATCCATTCTCTGTTTAACAGGGAGTTCCAGCATAAAACACAGAATTGGGAAGAGAGAGAATCTGGAAGTCTAACGTTGGTAGGACCCCTGATGGCTCCAAATGCTAATGTTTGTTTAATATTACACTTAAGTCTAAGTAGTTCACGTTTCCCTCTCAGGTTATCTTCTCTGATCAGTCTACCCAGAAGGGATCATATTGTTCTCAGATACTCCAAAATAAGCATTTATAATACCTAAAACCAAGTTATTTATTTTTCAAAATACACAATGTTTGAAAATGTCAAAATCTTCCTTTGGTTGGGACAGCACAGTGTAGTAAACATCATAGGTGCTAGGGGCAAGATAAATCTGGGTCTAAATTCCAGCTGAGCACCTCACTAAGAGAGTGGCTAGGGCAAGTCCCTTAACTTGGCTTAAGTGTCCTCATACATAACAGAGGTGGCCTCGGGAGTGTAAGCACAACACTCTTCAAGCACAGAACACAGGTGTCTGGAATAAACTGACAGAAATGATAGTTATGACTGCTGTCACTTCAGTTCCTGTCATTTATGTCCTCCCTCGAATGTACACCAAGGATCCTTATTACCAAGGATACTTATGTGGCTAATGTAAACATAAAGGGAACGAGCTAAATGCAGTGAACATTTAAAACTTCACTGACAGCAGAAATAAGGTTCTAAAAGATTATATTTTGGATAAGCTTTAATGAATATTAAAATTCAAAAGATTACTCAAATGAATATTTCAGAAGTAAATCTGGCTTTACCTCTGGGAACTGCTCAGTAGATTCCCAAGATAAACACATCACTTATTAGTGTCTGTTGTCATAATAAGATTAAAGGAGAAAGCAAGGGCGCCTGGGTGGCTCAGTTGGTTAAGCATCTGACTTCGGCTCAGGTCATGATCTCATTGTTTGTGGGTTTGAGACCCATGTCAGGCTCTGTACTGACAGCTAGCTCAGAGCCTGGACCCTGCTTCAGATTCTGTTTCTCCCTCTCTCTCTGACCCTCCCCTGCTCATGCTGTCTCTCTCTCTCTCTCAGAAATAAATAAAACGTTAAAAAAATGAAAAAAAAAAAAAAAAGGAGAAAGCACTCGGGGCGCCTGGGTGGCTCAGTTGGTTGAGCATCTGACTTCAGCTCTGGTCATGATCTCAAGAGTTCATGGGTTCAAGCCCCGCGTCAGGCTCTGTGCTGACAGCTTAGAGCCTGCTTCAGATTCTTCGTCTCCCTCTCTCTCTGCCTCTGCTCTCTCTCTCTCTCAAAAATAAATAAGCATTTAAAAAAAATTTAAAATAAAAAAATTTAAATGAGAAAGCACTTTCTAGAAATAATATTGATAGCAAATTTAAATGTGCTATCTGACATTATTCTACTAGCAAAAACTAGAAGTTAAAAAGCTGTATACTTCACTACATATTTTCAAGCTAATTATTATATTAATATACTGTGAAAAAAATACTGAAAATCATTAACTTATTCTCCCAAAATACAGTAAAAAATTATATTCAGTTGTACTCAAATCAGAAGAATAATAATATAGAAATTACTTAAGCTATTCTTTCTTTAGAAAAATGCACTCCAAATTACAATCAACAAAATATGTTTGGAACATAATCTTTACCAAGATAAATATGATGCTGACAATTCCATTTTAGAACCTGGTCCCATTTATTAGGCCTATTTCTATGAAATTTACTTTATAGCTCATTTATTGATGCTGGAGTTTGTTTCCAAAGGTACCTATGATCTATTTCTACAAAGTTAATAGAGGAATAAAGAAATATTAGTACTTCATATTTAATTTTCATCTAGTTATTCAAGTCGATCCAGTTATTAAAATTTTGCCAATTTTAGATCAAAATATGGGAGTGCCTGGGTGGCTCATCAGTTAAGTATTCGACTCTTGATATAGGCTCAAGTCATGATCTCACAGTTTGTGAGCTCAAGTCCCGTACTGGGCTCTGCGCTGGCTGTGTGGAGCCTGCTTGGGATTCTTCGTCTCCCTCTCTCTTTCTCCCTTTGCACCTCCTCCCCACTCTAAATAAATAAATAAATAAATAAATAAATAAAATATGTATCCCTGACAGCTTCAGGAGACAGGTAAATCCGATAACTATTATTTTGTTCCATTTCACATTAACTGAATTGACCACTCTGACAGAGAACAGTGACTACTTGGCTCATGGTGACTTTGAAAATACAGATATAAATACAATATACTCCCATTGCCTTTAAGGAGTTCACAATCTAATAAAAGCAAACAGAAATAGATAAAAACACAATTGTACAACACTGAAGTAAGTATATAGCAAGCATTTCCTGGAGAAAAGAACACATTTTTTCTACATCACAGTTGAAAGGTAATGCACACTGGATTCATGAAAATTACTGTGTTCTCCAAATAAACCGAGATAAACACACAGAAAATATTCTTTACTAATGCCTATTACTATAAATGTATAACTCTATGTATTTGAGTACAATCATATGGTCTAAATTTAACAAGATATATTACTATACATACAGATATATGTACGTCTACATATGCATCAAATAGAAATGTGGAAGTTTTACTGTATATGGTCACAGAATGGGTATTTATTTACAAGTCATCTGTGACCACAGAACTAATAAAATTGGAGACTGGTGCTGCCTGAGCCTTTTGCTGGAACTGAGTCTACAGGCAGTAGCTCTCCACTCTCACACCAGAAGTTCTCAACTAGCGGACTCTTCCAATCTGCTCCCATCATTACTCCAATGTTATTTCTTTTCTTTTTTTTTTTTTTATGTAGTTTATTGTCAAGTTGGTTTCCATATAACACCCAGTGCTCATCCCAACAAGTGCCCTCCTCCATGCCCATTCAAAGCTATTTCTTAATAATAGCTTCAATTAAACAACTTGCATATGGAGATTAAACGACTAAAAATAGCACTTCATATTTTAAAGAATGCTTTGAGGAAGATCTATACAACTTACTTTTCAGGTAAAGCTTTAAAAACATAAAACATATGTTGGGCATCATTACATACATATCACTATATATATAATTTACTCTAAATATATCACAGTAAAACTAGAGATAGTATATAAAAATGGAAATTTTTCTGCATTGTTTTATTTATTAACAGAAAAAATTGGGCAATTATGGCAAATATGACAATTATGGCAAAGTGTTAACTATCAAGAGAAAATCAACTAACAGAATCTTGGACTTATTATTTGTACTTTTCTACATTAAAATTTTTTTTCTCAAAATAAAAGGTTTTAATTAAGAATGCTTTGGCATACTGTTCCTACCTATCTTCCATTAGTTTTACAAGGAAAACTACTCTTCACTTCTTCATTATTCTCAATGGAATACAAAGGCCCCAAAGGATTTTATCTAGGTTTATGCCAAACATCA